TGGAAGGCTGCGGCGATTGGCAATGGAATCGTCTTTCGTCCTTGAAAGACGGACTCTGCTGTAGCAGGTCTGCCGTGTATGATGGTGGACCGCTAATGGTCACTGAAGATGCGCTATGTGCGCTGATGTAGACTCTGCAGCTGCTGCCTGCGGGCGTCCGAGAATTGAATGATGCCACAGCCTCCCGGACTTCTTCCACGGCAACATTGCTCACAAGGGTAGACCAGCTACCCTTGATCTTCGCGTCTTTGGAGGGCTGAATGTATTCTGATCGTCGAGATGCTTCCAGTCCAAGCTGGAAGGCCAAGGCCACTGCATGATGTGCGATGTGGTGCAGCTCAGTAATATTTCGAGAGCAAGAAAAGACAGAGGCTGCGATAGAGCCGGTACAGATTCCCAGTACAGAATCGTGGCCTGGTGTTGATGAAGAGCCGACTTCCAGAGCTCTCGGGAACTGTTCAAGATAGCTAGCACGGAAACCTTTGTTAGCAAGAGAATGGCCTTCATGCATGCGTCAGAGTATCAGGTTGTCGGTTCACTCACAGGATAACATGGCCGAGCTGAGAGACACAGCAAAGGGCAGCCTTCAACGCCGGGCAATGGGCAGCATCACGTTCAACGGCAGTAGCAAGGTCAGTCAGAGAGTCCCATGAAGGGAACGCCTGTCTCTCACGGAAGGACGCTTGATATATTGCCTTGCGCAGACTGTCTGTTGCAGAACGCAGGAAACGACGTAGTCCGTCGGAGTTAGCTGCGCGGCGACTGAGGCGTTGGATGCATGGAAGTACGTCGGCAATCTGGTCTCCAAAGAGATATAGGGCGGAAGACCTGGTTGCAATCATTGTAGAAGGTTACGTTTAGTTGTTTTCTGAATAATTCACAGGCGTTCATGATGGGTTCTTATACTTCTACCTGTATCTATACAATGTCCAGCCTCTGACAAGACTACCCTCCCACAATTCTCCGATAGCTTATTCTGCATTAGCGCCCCGTATTGAGATATTTAAATTTTACACAGTAAGCACTAGGTCTTACTGCCTAGGTACGAATCCAACTACCATTTCAACGATTTGAACATCTGAAGCGCGTTTTAAGAAAGTAGTAGAGTATATATGCCAATGCAGCTTAAAACGTTTGATAGCTTCTTGAAATAGTGCCAGTATTTGAGAACCGGGGAGATACAAAATAGCTCTTGTACAAGATTAAGAGTCGCTAGCTCTTAGAAATACGTGATCTGGGCTGGGGTAACGTCGATACCAGCTATAGTGATCTGCGCTAGAACATCTCTATAGGACAGAGGGTCTATGCACAATCTATCTTTAGCGATATTAGCCCACATTTTGCCACGAGGCTTCCATGCGAATATCGGAGAAATATGTACAATCGCTTGCATGTAGGCCCAATTAGCTCGTTTCGTCTTCGCATTTCCTGCTACGCCAAGCAAGATTGCATGAAGAATCGGTCTTAAATTACCAAAAGGGGACCCGAAGGAGGAACGTCGCCAACCTTCTGCTTACACTCTAATTAAAATGATACGGGATCGAGAGATAACGTCTAATCCAGCATGTTAGAGCAGTTTAGAGCGCGATTGGCACGTCTAAGTGTGGCTTTTCGCAATACGATCCCTGCATTAGCTTCTATGCAGGAAGGACGCCGCCAAGAGTAATATGCTTATGTCGCATATCATCGCTCTATTGAGCCTCGGACCCTAGCTCTAGTTCGTCAACTCGAACTACACTGGAGTGCAAGGCAATTCTTTTGCCCCTCTTTAGGCTCTCTTCCGAATAGAACCGAAGCGGCCACAGCTCAACACCGCTATGCGTGCGCTTCTTAAATATCTTGGGTTTCAGCCTACGCTCGCTTGCTGCCAATTGAGATTCCAGTTTCTAAGTTTCTAGCAAATCATAGCTAATGAGTGATTCCACGATGTCCCCGACATTCACGTTCACATCGCTCTGTAGCGAGCGCACCGTTTATAATGCCATTCCATTTCTCTTTGCCCTCCTCGCCTTGTGGCTCTACCGTACCTGGAAGAAGCAGTCGCATGTTCCTGGGCCATTCTTGGCTTCTATTTCGAACATCCCACGTTTACTTTGGGCGCATTCTGGCAGTGCACATGAGACTCACATCCGTCTTCACCAGAAGTATGGATCGCTCGTCAGGCTTGGCCCAAATGCCGTCAGTGTGGGAGATCCTCGCGAAATTTCCAAGATGTACGGTATTCGCTCGAGTTTCGGGAAGGTCGGTTGTGCTCGCCCGTTGATTCTCTCTGGCTAACCAAGAGGCAATGTGATCTGACAATAACTTAGTCTGATTATTACAAAGTTCTCCAGCCGATGTCGAAGGGAAAGATTATTCAGGGTCTGTTCAACACACAGGATGACCAGCTCCACCGTTCCATGAAGAAACCCATTGCGGGAATCTACTCCATGAGCAACCTCGTCAGTTTCGAGCCCTACGTCGACTCCACCGTCAGCTTTTTCTTGCAGCGTCTTGAGGATGCGCAAGGAAAGCCTGGCGGGCGTATCGATCTAGGCACCTGGTTGCAGTGGTTCGCATTTGACGTGATGGGTGAAATCACATTCAGTAAGCGGCTGGGCTTTCTGGACGAAGCCAAGGATGTGGACGGTATCATGGGTTCTATCTGGAAGATGTTCCAGTATTCCTGCTGGGTGAGTGACATCACAATGCCATGCTGGCATTCCGTGACCGTCGCTAATCACACTGATACGTCTGTACCAGGTTGGCCAAATGCCATGGCTGGATAAGGTCTGGGTCAAGAATCCGTTCGTGAGTCGCTTACTGCCTGCGAAAAGCTCGCCAGTCGTCATGTTTGCTCTGGCACGGGCACAAGAAAGAATAGCCGAGAAACAGGGTTCCGACAGCCCAGATGCCGCTTCGTCATACAATTCAAAGGATTTCATGTCCCGCTTCCTGGCGGCCCGAGCCAAGGACCCGAGCATTCCTGAATGGTTCGTGACCGCATGGACGACATCGAATGTGCTGGCCGGCAGCGATACGACCGCTATCATGCTACGGGCCATAATCTACTTCCTGATCACGAACCCGGTCAGTCTCCAAAAGCTCGAACACGAGCTGCGCCAAGCCCTGAGCCAGGGTCAATTGTCCGATATCGTCACTTGGAAGGAATCCCGCAACCTGAGGTATCTGGACGCCTGCGTGAAGGAGGCAGGACGCCTCCATCCAGCGATTGGGCTGACGTTGGAGCGTGTGGTACCGTGTGGCGGAGCCACTATCTGCGGGCAATCCTTCGAAGCGGGAACGATAATTGGCATGAATCCTTGGGTGATCCACCGAGACAGGGAGGTTTTCGGTGCTGACGCCGACCAATGGAACCCGGATCGCTGGTTGGATTCCGATGCGGAGCGGGTGACGCTTATGGAGAATTGCCTTTTGACGGTGAGTAACTCGGTGAACCTTTGGGCTTTTCTGCAGTGTTGAGACTAAGAATTGACCTATTCGCAGTTTGGATCCGGGGCTCGGACGTGCATCGGGAAGAATATCTCGTATTTGGAGATCTACAAGCTTATTCCGACGATGTTTGCGCGATACGAGGTAAGAATTCTGTCGAAGATGTGCTGTACTTAAGGTTTTGTGCTTCCAATGTGGATTAACTCGATCTAGATTCAACTGTGGGACCCGAAACAGGAGTGGAAAATTGCGAACTCGTGGTTGGTCGTTCAGAGCGACTTCTTCATCAAGCTGAAACGGAGAGAGCCTCGTCTGTGAGGTGGACCTTTGGACTGTCAGAAAATGACTGTACATAGGAGGACCGAGTCTAGATCATGCAATCACACACTTCATCGGTATTGAAACAACAGATACCTGTCTTACACGTGGATTCAGACTCTGCCTCCTTCTCATTTCGACACATGTAAATAAATGTAGCTCACATTTACGTATCCGCATAACCGCCAACGTGTTTCTAATGCCGGATCCTGATTAGTGACCCTCAAGATAGGCTAGGTGCACGCTCCTACGCTTAGCCTGCCAACGATCATCAAAGTCCCGGGCAAAGACCAATTGGGAGGCGTCAATGCACTGTCCTCAACCTTAGCTACCGAGGTACCGGAGAGATTGCACGTAGGAATGTGAGTCTGCCGTATTTTTGTCACGCTTAAGGTTCGGATATATATTATTTTTAGTTGTAAAGGATTATCGGAAGCTATTATGCGCTCATAAACATACTATAGTAAGTAAATCATTTTGTTAAATACCGTATTGTTATAAATATTGTAGAACTACGGAGGACTACAGCATGATATTTTATCGCTTAAGAACCCCTGTATGCGGGCTCTAGACTCTATGCATGAACACGCACTTAATCCCGGTCCGACTGAAAGAATTATGGCTGAAGAACCTCGGGCAGGACGGACGGAAGGAATGGCTTGGTCCGATGGCGGAATCCCGATCCAACACTTCAAAAGTCCCGCCAAGGCGCCGAGAAAAGGCATCAGTAGCTTCTTTTAGTACCTTGAAGTTAGACATACGAGGTGTGTCCACCTACGACCTCACCAGTCAAACGCGAACATGCTATTCCCAAAGCGACAATGTAAGTCCGTCGGGCGGGAGACGGGAGCGAGGCTTATCTGGCTTATCCTAACCCTATCCATTTCCCCTTTCGGTAATTAAAGTCCGAATCGTGCACTTCCCGATGGGGTAATCTGCCACAGAGATTCCAGATCTGTTACTGTGGTGTTTGTTCCCTCTTCTGATTGGGCACCGCGACTCAGCCAGTGCTTTGTTGAAAGAGGATGAAGTTCAATCAGGGCCATTTGGACAGTTTGGACAGTTTGGTCCGGTTTATTGCTTTTGTGGATGAGAAGCTCGCTCTCGCAATATATTTCGGCCCGTCTTCAGTTGCCAATTTCTTCCACAAGTTGTTGGCATGTTAACTTGAACATCATCATTAATATCTCCATCGCTCTGCTCTTCGGTGCTTTCAACTTCGTCCTTAGTTAGATCTATACCGCCTCCCAATGTCATTCTCCCAGCCATCTTCCATGTCCGGAAAAGACATCGAGTCCGACGCAACGATCGACAGTCATGTCAAGTCAGAGGTTGTAGCGGACGAACCACCGAAGCCCGCAGGACCCCTCCGCCACCAAATGGAGGCACAAGAGCATGGCTCCAAGTCCTTGGTGCCTTTTTCTTGAATTTCAACACTTGGGGTCTCTTGAACACCTTCGGCACATTCCAGTCTGAATATAGTACGGGCTTGCTAAGGGACTCGTCGCAGTCTTCGATTGCTTGGATTGGATCGCTGCAGGCGTTTCTGATGCTGGTAATTGGAGTTCTGTGTGGACGTGCTCTCGATGCTGGGTATTTCTACGCGGATATCACCCTAGGTGTCTTTCTCGAAGTATTCGGCATGATGAGTGAGCTTTTCCATCCATTAACAACGAGCGGGAAATGCTAACCCAACAGTGACTTCGATTTGCAAGGAGTACTGGCAGCTCATCCTAGCCCAGGGCCTGTGTGTCGGTATTGGCGCCGGAATGTCGTTCATCCCCAGTGTCGCCATCGTAGGCACGTATTTCTCGACGCGACGATCCACCGCGCTGGGTCTGGCTGCCACTGGCTCAAGCGTCGGAGGCATCATCTACCCCGTCGTGCTGAGACGTCTGATCGTCCAGATCGGACTGCCCTGGGCGGTCCGAGTCATGGCATTTATCATGTTGGGAACGCTTCTCATCTCGGTCGCTGTGATGAAGCCTCGTCTTCCGCCTCGCAAGTCAGGTCCGCTGATCAATGTCGAGTCGCTCCGCGACACGGTCTTCGTCCTTTGGCTCTTCGCTGCATTCTTTATCTTCATCGGTCTCTATATCCCATTCTTCTACGTCGAACAGTACGGTATCAACCTCGGCATGTCGCAGGACTTGGCTTTCTATATGCTGATCATCATGAACGCGGGCTCGATTCCAGGCCGTGTCTTGCCGTCCATCATCGCCGACAAGATCGGTAACCTGTCGGTCATGATCCCGTCTGTCCTTTTCACCGGTATCTTGATGCTCGCGTGGATCAGTGTTGAGTCCCAGTCGGGTCTGATCGCCATTTCGGTCTTTGTCGGCTTGACAAGTGGGTCTATCCAGGCTGTGCTTCCTGCCACGGTAGCCTTCCTTTGTCCCGATCTGTCAAAGTTGGGCACGAACATTGGCATGACCCTCTTTGCGTCGGGTCTGGGTTTGTTGATTGGTAGCCCTGTTGCGGGTGCGATTTTGGACCGCCAGCGGACGTCGGGAGGAGATGTTTTCTGGGGTACATTGACCTTTTCTGGGCTATTCATCTTGGCGGGAGGTGTGTGTTTGATCATTGCTCGTGTGGTCAAGGTGGGATTCGGGCTGAAGAAGGCTTGAGATTGTGCGTAAGATGGACATACGACGAACCTGTCAGCATGCCTGAGGCAAGATCAGATTATGACTGTGAAAGAGAAGGCAATAGAAAACGTAAAACTGCATACTTAATTTAGTTATCTGACAAGTCCCACACAAATCTTCCTTCTATGGGGTTCTCGCCGTAAAAGCTTGTGGGGGATCGTAGAGGACAATGAGGACAAGGTGAACATAGCAAATGTTGACATGCAAATCGGTGATGTAGGTGTAAAGTCAAAGAGTTGGGGGAAACAAAAGAGAAAGCAAGTGGGGAAAGGGAGTTGGAAAGGGGTAATGATACCAACTATCTATTCTGTATTTGTCTATATGCAGGAGAAAAAAAATGATGTGCCAGGAAGTTCAAATTTACATGTCTTCCCACGAGAGATTAGACGTGGACTGCATCGTCGAAGTACATTCGAACGGCGCCATAGAATATGGCAGACATAGATCGGACTGCATACCCAGACCTAAGCCAGGGTAAAGGTCGCCGTCGCTTGGGAAAAACATCTCGATTAGGGGATCTGGAAGTTGCGCATGGTTCATCCAGTCCATCGCAAGAGGCGTGGGTGCAGGGGCACTTGGTGGTGACATCCTTGTTGTATTGGATCCCGACAAGCCGAGTGTTGAATCTTGGTTTTCCCGTTTCAGAGAACGCTCCATCTCATTTACGACCTCCTCGGCGGCAGTAATGCCGAGCTGAAGGAACTTGGAATCCTGCTGTGAACCGCCAAAATCGCTAATCAGGCTTGAGGTGACAGTTTTTGCGACAGCAAGAACAAGTCTCGTCTTCGCTGCAACAGGTCCGAGGCGGTATCTTCCCGCTAGAATATGCGATAAAGAGTCTAGAGATTTCAGCAAAAGCTGTTGAAACACAACCAGCGTAGGCGGGGGGCCATTGCAGACGGTTGTGCCCAGATTGATGCTTCGAAGGCGACCAACCACTAGACATGCGGTCAATGCTGCGCGGGCAAGGTCGGTCCAAAGTAGATGGTACGCCACGCTAGACAGCTCAGACCCGCTCTGTAACACTTCCTGTAACTGATACAGAACTGACACCGAATTGTCCCAAGCTTCATAGAGATCGCTCCGCTGTGAATTATGAGGCGGAACCCCTAGGACGAAATTGAGTGTGATAATAACCATGAAGCTATGTACATGCACAGATAACAAGGCTTGCTGAAGCTTTTCGATTGGACTGCATGGCGAAGCTCCCTCTTGCAGATTCGCAGGCAACTTTCGCAGGATCTTGTGAAGAGAGGCGCGCATTCGATCCCGTACCTCGCTTGATAATTGAGGAGTTGTGGAGCAAAGTCGCTGATGTAATGGAGCTCTCACTATAGCAAGCTTTATTGCAGCAATATTGAAAGCCTGGTCCGTTGCTTCCTGGGTCTGATTCAACAATGTAGCTGACTTCGTCCCCGGCTCAAGGGCCAGAAGGTCGATACCGCTCGGGAGAGGACAGTCCACATCTTCCAGTCGAATACCAAAGTGGGATCCGCTCCGGATGCAATAGTCGAGGTTCAATCGAAAGAAGCACGCCCATAATCGTTTCCGAACTTCTGCATAGTATGGAGTGACACCGGGGAACAAGGCTGGATCCCTATGCAAGCCCATGCTCAGAGCCATTTGCGTAGTCAGCCCCATGATTCCCATGAGGCTATAAATATTGTCAGTGTCAGACGCAGTGATGGTCTTCATGATGATCAACAACAATAAAGCCTGCATGACGCCTATACAAGGTTTCTGGAACCGTGTCGATGTATGAATCCGGCTCTCCGCTTCTTGCAGTATCAGACGACCGTGTAGTCGCTCTGACTTGTCGGTCTGCATGGCAATCGCAATGACCAACAGGATCTTGAGGACGTGCACTTCATTGGCATCGACGGAGGCGATACATATATCCTCTAGCTCAGTGATCAGACAGTTCTGGTCAATCACGTGGTAAATTCTACCATATGTTTCACAAAATCGCCTGATCCACTCTTCGCAGGTCGACCGATCGGGAAGGAGATCCAATAGCTTCTGATCTCCATTCACTCGCGCTGGTCCCGAATTTGCGACGCGAAGGAGAGACTTGACGTTCGCAAAAGTTATCCACGTCGGCTGAAAATCGACGGTTTTCTCCAGCATGGCCCCTATGACGGGCAAATCGTTGCACACGGCCATCCAATGGGTGCCGCCAATCAGCCTTGTTTTGAAGTCCGACCCTTTAAAGGCACTATTGGCATGGGAGGCGGTGGGCTGGTTGTGAGGCAGGACCGATCGTGGATCGTGGATCTCGCCATCGGAGCGGGGTGCCGGCTGTTGCAACGCGAGTAGATCGATCTCCGCATTTCGAGGCGATGGTAATGGCGTGGCAGATTCCAAGACTGCTTGACTTTTGGAGCGGGAGTAAGCGCACTGTGTGCCCATTCCACGGTCTTGGCACGGTTTGCATGGTGACTTGCGATCGCAGCGGACTTTGGATTTTCGACAATGGTTACATGCTACGGGCTCCCGAAAGCGGGGTCTTTTTCGACCATTGTTTTTCTTTGGGTTTTCGAATGCCTCGGCATTCATATGGCTGAACGTCAACATCTTGTCACCAGTTGTAAAGGGTGATTATTATGAAGACGCTGAAAAGATCGAAAAACCTTGACAAAGAACAAGCATCAGGCGCCTTTGAAGGGGAGGGAACGAGCGGCGATAAGCTCGTTCAGTAATCAGAGTGGCGAGTAATATCAGTTAGCCCAGGGATGCCCAGGGATGCCCAGGGATGCGGCAATGGAGTGCCCAGGTGGCTTCCAAGGTTGTCATGACGAAGTTGCGCCATGAGTAGAGCCACATGAAAGAGGACAAAGAGTGGAGAGACTCTCGCGGAATTCGTGTCAGGATCTTGACTAGCGCGAAGCTTATATCACAAAATCCAATCACAACTGGTGAGATAGGCACGGCACGGACACCTCGTGTTCTATCGGCCATTATATATAGTCCGATGTAGAGCACTAAATCCGAGCGGACAACAGATAAACGTATGAACCCAAAGTAGAATTGAAGATGATTTTCGTTAAGTGTTTACTCAATTACTATGAGTGTAATGGGGTAGAAGTGATAGAGAACAAGTTCTAAATTAAGGACTTCTGAAGAACGGGCCATGTGGGGTTGGACCCTGCCAGGTACGCCAATCATACCGATCCAGGAAGAAGATCACCGTAGGTCGAGTACGTTCTCGTATAGTATATGCACCGAACAGCGCTTTGACGGGCCAAATCACACCCCCTGTACCCTTGAAACCTGTGGCTCTGTACTCTACTCTCCGTGCTGAGCGAATGAGCTACTGCGTTTCAGATCCAAGAAGCCTATAATGGCGACAAGCGGATGACACACTTCTATTTGGACTATTCGCTGCCACTGGGTTGTAACACACCCGCAAAAGTATGGCTATAAGGATGTAGTTATCAATTTTGAGTCGCAGATGCGGATCTGGTACCAGCAGTGGCTAGTTGTGTCTACAATTCTGAGTGAGCGTGGGAATGAGCGACTTCGTGGGCCGGGTGTTGCGGCGAGACACCGACTTGCTAACCTTGGTCTGCCGCGACTACGATAAGTCTTCTCAGGTACCGGGGAGCAGATCTGGCAGACATTATGTGCACGCTTTCGACTTTAAATACAAATGATAATTGAGAACCAGCCAGAGCTACACATATATTGAAGAATCAATGGCGTGATTCTCAGCATGACCGTGTGACACCCCTAGACATCGTGGACGACCCAGATATCCGCCTCCAAGTATCGTCCAGTTTGTGTTTTGGGATCCCACTTGACTGTGTCATTAAACCAGTCCAACGCTTTCCCTTCCACATTCTCCCCTGATAAAGCGATTTGACCTTTTTTTTCGCCCACGGTTTCATTCAGAAGACCATTCTCTTGTACAAGCCACTGCTGCCATTGTGCAGCAGTCCCCTCGATTTGAAAGCTCTCTGGGGCAATCTTTGCGACTCGGGCTCCCATCTGAATATGCTTCCGCAGCCACGGGTCAAATGGCAATGGATTCTGAGCATCAGGATCTTCACTGGATGACCACGTGAACCCGGACTCATTCGGCTTCCCCTGTACCCAAGAGAAATACTGTTCCGGGCGAACACTCTGGTATTTGCATTTCAAGGTGGGTCGAAGGGGCACAACCACGGCCTTCAGATTGTTCCGTCTGGCCAATTCTTTGAAGTTGGCCAACAAGACATCGGCAATACGCAAACCCCGGTAGCTTTCTGACACTTGGACATATAATCCAGAAAGAGCATTTGGCAGGTCTCGCAAGCAGGCAACGGGCGAGTCACGTCTTTGACCCTCGGTCCATAGATGTGCATCCAGCAAGGGGACTCCTTCTCTCGCCTGCGCCTGTCGAACGCCTCGTGCGAGTATCGTATCCCAGCCCCCATCTGGCAAGCTCGAAAACCACTCGCTCGAAGTCGAGTCCTTTGCCAGCTCTGGACAGAAGAACGGAACGCAGTTTGCCGTGGCCACGACTGCGTTATCAGAGTCCCTCACAACCATAGCTTGGTAACGTTTCAACTCATCCAGCTCTTCTATCTCCTTCCAAAACCGCATTCGGCTGGATCCGTTATTCCAAGGGTCTCGCAACCAGATCCACAGTTCATGGGTAGGGTCTGTACGAGCTTCGTCCCACAAATCGGGTCGATCGATTGCTAGATGCAAGGAAAGCCCAGGTGGCATTTGGGGAGTTGTGCTGCTCATTGCCGATCTAGTTCAAGGTACAAACGACAGAATAAGTTGGGTCGACGTCAAACTGGCTGTAGGTAATTTGAGAAATGAGTGGGAAATATGAAGAAGGTCGGGGCCGTTGGGGTCACAGACGAGGAGGGGAGAACTTGTATACCACATACGCAGGTATTTTACTACTCTGCATGGACTGTTTGGTTATGCACTCGGATCACCTGCTAGTACCTGCAGTACAGAATGGTTCATTGATGTCTCCACATTGTGTTCAGCTGAATTGCTCGTACAGTTTCAGCCACATACATAGAGGCGCCTATTATTGTGGACCTGGGAAAATAAAAGAAAAAGTGAGAGAAATATCATATTGTATATTGTACACTTTCCTTTTTCTAAATTGTGTGATATCGAAATTTTCCACTCCAAATTTCCTCGGCTATAACGCCATTGGGGATTCTTCTATCCAGTTAGCCCGCAGACGTGAGAAATCCTTGCCCTCTTATCACTCCTTTCCAAGCAATTTTCCATCTTTCCAAAATTCGTAATGTGCTCGCTATAGTGTGAATACTGCGGCTAGTTGAGGACCAGGGAATTTGGCAAGCGGCTGAAAATAATAAAGATAGACAACAAGCGAAGTTCGATATGTGAGAAAATTAAGAAGTGAATAGTAGATGATCCTAACCAAATCTGGTCTCAGTACTACAGATTCATACATTTTCCACGGTGGCGCAACGTAAAGTTTGAAACGTCGAGTATATGAGATTATTTCTTCCCGGGGATCGAGGGGCAAGAACAGCTACCCATTAATGCATCAATGTGGAACAGAAATCATGATGGCGAGCTGAAGGCGCAATTGGCGTTGTGATCTACCGAATACATAAAGTTTTCATTGCTCTTAAACCAATATCTATTACCAAATGCATATGCAGGTGCCAACCAGTGTGGAGATGCCCCTAATCTAGCCTGCAGTTCGCACTGCAGATCTCCAGGGGATCTGACACAGGGATCGGACTAGGCGCAAATCGTCTCATTAACTCAGATTATTTGTTGTAATGGTTGATGCCATCTCCACGCCAAATCCCGAGAGTTTCCAGCTGAATCACCTCTTCACCAATCCATGTCTGCATGACCCGATCGTGCCAGCTCTACTTGTCCCAAATATGCCCCTCTCTGTCCACCGCGATGCTTGTGTGGGTCTCAAGGGTTCCGAGACATGGGGATGTGCAGTCTGTAAGTACATGACCTCTTACGCGGTAACTCGTAACCCAGCATGCATGGTGAAATGTCGTAATAACTGCTTAGGGTATTGGAATAAATTGGAAAGACATTAGAACCCCCATAACACAATCCTCAAGGGCTTTTCTAAACATCCTCGATTGAGACAGGCGTTCCTTCTTGTGCCATAAATTCTACCATCATGTTAATCACTGTTTTTGGTTTCTTGCATTCATTGTGGTTTCCTCCAAATGGCAAGCCTTGCTCTCGCGCATCTCTTGAATCAAAGTGTCTGGACTGGGTCTACGATCCTAAGAAGATCTCCATCATCCACCGTTACGAGTCGAAGCCATCTGTTGTCCTGAACTATGTACTCGATGATGGCCAACCCGATTTCAAAGTCCTTCCCGGGGCACCAGGCTACCAATATATTGGACGCTCTAGCGAGCTTCCCCCAGACGACAAACGGCTCAAACAGTTGAAAAAATGCACGGTTTCACTGGAGAAGCTATGTCAGCTACTCGGCAGCGAAGTCAAAGATAGTCATGCATCATCCGTGGTCATTGGTAAGGGTGGCTTTATCTCAACTCCTCATCTCGAGGATATGAAGAAAGCTATGGACATGACCGACATTTACACCAAGCTCGAAGTCCGATACAGCAACGGCATGACGTCGACACAATACATTCACCCTCGTTGCTTTACCATCAAACAAGCGCTTCTCAAAGAAGCCGGTCCCGTTCGTTTCAATCGGATTGAAATCAACAGTGGAATATGTCTGTTCTCCAAAGGGGTGCTTTCGACCTCGCCAGGCCACGGAAAATCCACCGACACCGGCAATCAGCTCGAGATTCCTCCCCTGCCAAAGCATAATCGTCTTACAATCTACGAACTGGAAACCATTACAAGGATGTCTTCGGCAATCGCAGATACGGTCGGTCTCATTGGCGCCGCCTACAAAAGCCGCGACACGCCAGTTCAGGTAAACATTGATGTGCCCGACCTTCAGTATTATTGGACAGCGTGTGACCTCTTCAGACGGGGGCTTGTCCCAGTCGAGTATGTCAAGAGCTGGATTGAAGCAATCGATCGGCGAAAAAAAGCAGCTTGGATCAATCATGACTTCTGTCCTCCGGAAGATGCTAATGGACCGCCACATTTGTGATGTTAATATCGCCATTAGTTCGGGCACAGAAGCAGCCATAACCCTGGTCAGAGAAAAGATGGAAACCGAGTCTATTGCTTCTCTCGAAGAAATTTTGGATGCCTTGCGATCTAGAGGAAACGATTCCGAGATGTGGCGTTTGTTCTTGGACAATTTAGATCCAAGGCAACAGCCGACAGACATGGAAAGCCTTGGTCGGCTCATATACGTGTTCAAGTCCACTAAACCAGCACTGGCAAAACAGCGAGTCACTTCCTTCGAAAAGCCAATTGAGGACGTGCCAAATAGGATGCTCATCATCCAAGTTGACGATGTCCACGAGTGGAAAATCCTTGATCGGGCAAAGTCATTTATCAAAGAATATTCCAAGATGCTTCCAGGCGGCGCTCATGAGTCAGTCATGCTGGGCTTGTTTCCTATTCAGAAGATCTTTTCTGCTGGTCCTGGCCGATCGGACTTGTACTTGGAAGATCCCGGCTTCAAATTACGCATGTCCTCAGGCGGAAGGTTGGTCGGTCCTATGGACATCATTAGCGCAACGTATGGGGAACACATTGGCAATCATGTAAGGCGTTCCTGTCTGCTAGAGGGTCTGAGTTAACAACGCCTGTTATCGAATTCGTTTTCCGGAGTGTCAGAAGCAAGTATGTAGGGTCATGAGATAGATAATGCAGATCAAGTCTCAACATTCCCTAAGGACATTTTGACTGTGGCCCCAATCTTCGAAGCGGTCGAATTCCCAGCAACTTTTAAAATTATATCATCTATCTATCTTGCTATTTTCATTACCAGACTCACTCCGCCAGTAGAGGCTCATTCTCTTGGTCGTTCTTCGGTAATTCCCCTGTCGCTTCCCTTCCTGACATCCAGAGGGTTGGTATAGCCGTGATCGCGGACAACAAACCCAGACACAAAGTCATTGTTTTCCACCCATAGCGATGATCGGTCAAACCCCCAATCATCGGGCCAACTGTCATTCCAGTAAATTGTGCCATCTGCTGCAAACTAAAGGTCTGCGCTATAGCACCGCTTCTCTTGAAAACCTCGGGGTTGGTTACCTCGAGTTCATCTACTACCTTGTGCATCTCTACCATGAGGCACGGTGAAGTTCCATTATTGAACAGGCCGAAAAGAGCCAGCAACCCGCACAAAGCAACCTTGTGTCCCATTGTGTTATGCTCCACGAATCGCAGACAAATCAAGGTTGGAGCGAGGAGTAAGAATCCGGTGGTGGCAACAGCTCGTGTACCTACTCGATCGGAAAGATAACCTATTCTCGTCAACAGCTTTCTTCGCAGAAAAGAAAAAAGAAAAAAAGGAAAAAAAATACGAAATCGAAAGCATGAAAGGGGCTCCATACCAGATAATGGCTGCACTAAAACGGTCACGAAAATTGGTAGGAAGACCATCCCAGCGCCAGAAGTGCTCCAATGGAATCTATCCATCACGAAAATAGGAATGACCTGTTAAAGTCAGTCTATAGAGCATGAAAATAGATTGACTAGAAACACTTACGGTATCCAGTACAGCATTGTAGATCGACTGCAGGACAAAAGTCCATGTGCAGATCAAGATCCGAGGCTGCTGGAGAAGCTTCCCGAATAGGAAAAGTCCTTTCTTCTCGATTTCGTCTTCGTCCTCACCGCGTGGCTCAATGGCTCCATATTGCGATGCCAAGTTCGGGAAGACGGGGGCAGAACTAGCTTCGACCTCCAGAGTAAGCCAGAACGCTGCTGTCTTTTTTTCAATAACCGCTAATCGCAATACAAGATCAATGGCAATCAGCCCAAAGGCTATGCCACAAACCGCATAGTAACCTCCAGCATGATAGACTATTCCGCCAATAAGAGGACCAGAAGCAAACCCTAGTGTAAGGCCGACGTCAATATACCCAAGCATATAGCCCAAATGTGCTTTGGTGACGGTATCGGTCACAATACTGAAGCCTGCCACACTGACCATGGCTGAAGCTGAGCCTTGAAGTACCCTTGCGGCGACATAGACGGTGATTGAGAAGGCAGCCGTCAGTAGACCCATTGACACTAGCAGCATGAAGAGCCCGAAAATGTATAGACCTTGACGCGTATTCGACCGGTCGAGAAGGTAGCCAAAGACGGGAGCGCTGACAACGCTGGCGCCGGCTTCTGAGATAAACAGAACGCTGTTCCAGAATTCACCTATCCAATACCATTTATCAGTTGGTATTCGGCATAAAGAGAATTTGTTGCCTCTTACGGTCCTGGGGTGGTATGTTGGTGCGGATGATCAGAGCCACTGGCATGACAGGAACAATCTGTAGGAGAAGTTATTAGACCCAGCCATATGATCACACTTTTAATTCACGGGCTAGCTCACCATTCCATAGAGGAACATGTGCTGGAAAATGAATCAGCATTTGCAGGTTTCTCAAAGGCACCGAAGCCTATACTTGACATACCGTAAACAGGGACAGCGAGACCGTTGCGACAATGAACATTTGCGAGGAGCGCAGCTTCAGCAGGAGAGGGCGACTCATTTTTGAAGATGTGTTCCTTGATAGAATTCTCTTTATCACCGTGAAAGTCATAGTCGAAATGTCCCAGTGCAAAGGTGTTGGTGATTTAAGGTGCGGAGAAGACAAGGGGAAGCTCTGAGAGCCAGCCTTGCTGGAAACTTGATTTACCCTGCAGAGGCAAAATGTATTTTCCTTTTCGTCGTGGTTATTGTATTATTACTCCGTACTTGTTTTTGCTTTTTGTTGTATCTTACGAGCTTTTGATCTTGTCACGCTGGCGCAGCTGAAGACTCCCCACCTTCGTGCATATGCAGTTTCCCAGCTCCTTGAGTGATTTTCGGTCCCGATCGCCCCATGTGTTCGGATCTAGATTGGCAAATGGTCGGTCTCCCTGTCGATCTCTGCATTCGTTGAAGATCGCTTAAAGTACGGCTGAGCGGACAGGAAGCCCTGTTTGCTACACCCTATGGTCGCATGGACCTATTTAGGCGCAGGAAAGGAAAATGGTGTAAATAACAATTCGTAGGTATGTAGAGGTGGTGGATATATGCAAGGAGAGGATAAAGACATATAAAGCAGGAGATCATGGTAGAAGATTGACAGACAGATATAAATATAAAGGGCTATTGGTTTAGAAGCTACCTACATGTAGCATATCATAGTCTCTGCACACATCGTAAAAATATGATCCAGCCCTGGTGATATTATATACGTTACCTCGCCTCTATTTGTGTCCGAGATCTTGTTTCTTTCCCTTGCACGATCGGCTACGCTGCCCACGTTTCATCGTCTAGCTTTCTAGCATACTGTGCTCCAAGATAACAGCGGATTGAATGCCTCTTTGTAGATCGAGTATCAGACAATAATTTCGTCAGGCGTTGGCGTCACCCTCTGTGCGTACTCAACATCGAACAACTATCTGGGCCCGGGGAAATCCGTGGCCGAGTCAAGCTGCTCCAATTTGATGTCTAGAGTTTATGTTGAAGAGGCTGGCAACGATAAGCTTGTGCAAGGGTCTGTATATTTTTCCAATATTGAAGCGTCGACGCCTCCTAATGCAATCTCCCAAGTACATTCTGTTAATGACCGGCCATACTTGCGAAGTAGAGAAGAAGTGAAAGGTTTCCAAGTGCCTTCCTTGATAGGATTAATAGGGTAGGGTGAAGCCTTCTTTTAGAGATAGATAAAGAAGTCATTCTGTTAGATGACGGAATACCTACTTGCAAGATAGTGGGATATATAATCTCCGATTGGATCTTTTAGCCCCTGCTAAACCAATGACAACTAAAGAGCCATCAGTATAATAGATTATCAAAAGTGACGCACGAAGAAATTTTCTGACGGCCTTGCGACATCATACAGGGACGAGTGGCCGAGATATTCTCGTCCCTGGGCAGGGAATCCGGGGATTCCTAACCCGAACGAATGATAAAGCGAAGATAATAATAAATGCGGAGGAGATCGTAGATTTCAAAGAGTTCGGTGGCGACCGGAGCCTCGTCACGTGCACCCCGACCTGGGAAAGAAAAAGTCCTCCGTCTTTATTTTGTTATCGCGTGGGTCAATCTTCAACCTCAACTACCCTCACATCTTTCACAACTCGCTTTCTCTTAGGCTTTTTTGCCAGGCTTCGACTTATACCCTCACACCTTTCGCAATTAGTCTCCATACAGCCGATCCGCCTTTACATCCCCGACTCATACCCCGGCTCATTCACACATCATGGATCACACTCGCGATCCCTGCCCCTGGGTTGCACTCAGCGACTTCGGTGGTGCATTCTGCATGGGTGCCATCGGTGGTGCCGTTTGGCACGGTGTCAAGGGTTTCCGCAATAGTCCCTACGGTGAGCGCCGGATAGGTGCTCTCACAGCTATTAAGGCGCGCGCGCCCGTCCTCGGTGGTAACTTCGGCTGCTGGGGAGGACTTTTCAGTATCTACGACTGTTCGATTAAGGGAATTCGCAAGAAGGAAGATCCTTATAATGCTATCATCGCTGGTTTCTTCACCGGTGGTTCCCTCGCTATCCGTGGTGGTTACAAGGCCGCCCGGAACTCCGCTATCATGTGTGCCGTCTTCCTTGCTGTGATTGAGGGTGTCGGTATTGGCTTCCAACGCATGATGGCTGATAACACAAAGCTCGAGGTATGACTTTTTGCCCTCGAATTGATCCGTTTCGTCAAGACGTGTTTGCTAACGGGTTGTCCAAAAACAGCTTCCTCCCCCTCCTCCATCCGAGCACAAGGCTGTGGCTTAACTTCTCTCTCCTACCCGTTCACCATCACAATCGACCTATCTACATTCGATTGTCCTCAACATTCTCCCTTCCATCTCTTTCTTCATAACGACATCCCCACATTGAGTCTCTCTTCTCGAGTGTTCGGCTTTGGTCATCATATTCAAACGACATGTCATAGAGGTTCCTGTTTTCTTTACTCGTTTTTTAATCCCGCCTCTCACAGCCTGTGTTTTTAGAGCATTGTATTTTATGGATGGCGGATTTGTTCTTGTGGCTGGTACCAAGACCGGCGTGTCTCTTTCTGCGGCCAGGTGGCTGAATAAAAGTATCTCTCCACTATCTACTCATCCTGCGAAGAAAAGCGTTGGAGACGGGGCTGTTTGGATCCTTGTATATTAGTGTATGGCTAACAAGCATGAGACGCATTTCTTTGTATATATTGATTTCGGCTTAGATCCCTGGTCGAGAACATTCAGTCCGGATAGGAACTATGAATTTTCATAGACTGATTCCACGCGAACATTTGGACTTGCATAAATTAGATCTAGCACAAGCCGAGTCAACCTAGAAAGCCCCTAGGCTTTGACCATTGCTCTGCTCCATCACTACACCTAGGATTCACCTGGGCATCGTACGTCACTTATTCATATTGACTAAGCCCTGGCGGTCTCGTTGGTACGAAAAGGCTGAATGCAAGACAATAAGTGAGTCTTCGTTGAACCTGAGCAGAACCATTGATTTGGTGTCAAGTGTCCATCTCCTCTGTACTATGCCCATCCATGGCTCATGAGGGGTGACCAATAAGACAAAAGCGGTGAGCGCCGGGTGCAAAAAGAGGTGCAAATCCAGCAGGCGGTGTGTCCGATCTCAAAAAGTTTCTCGATCACCTTCGACTTATCTTCAATCTATATACCACTTATTCTCCGTTTGAATTAATACACGGCTGTGATCCACCGAGTGAGCCATCTCTGAAGATTTGGCTTTTGAATTTTCAACTACAACAATGGCCGAAGATACTAGCGCAGCATGGCCCATCGCCGATGAGGCCCTCTCCCAGAGCCTCCTCGACCTTGTGCAGCAAGCCGCTCACTACCGTCAGTTGAAGAAGGTACGCTCCAGCCGGCTTCTAAGCACGACTTAACCTAAGCCTCACTGTAACTGATTCCCGCCTTAAGCTAACCTTCCTCTTAGGGCGCTAACGAGTGTACCAAGTCCCTTAACCGGGGTACTAGTGAACTTGTCATCATGGCCGCGGATACTAGCCCCCTTGCTATCGTGCTTCACTTGCCCCTCTTGGCTGAGGATAAGAACGTGAGTCAAACATGCAAGAAGCCTGCGCCGAGAACCTAGACTAACCAGGTATATTAGGTTCCCTACGTTTATGTCCCAAGCAAGATGGCTCTCGGCCGTGCTACTGGTGTTTCCCGCCCCGTGATTGCTGCCTCTATCACTACCAACGAGGCTAGTGACCTGACTGCTCAGATCCGTGCTATCAAGAACCAGGTCGAGCGTCTCATGATCTAAGATGTCCATCTTAGACATGGTCGGGAGCCTCGGACTCCGAGCCACTGGTTTTGGGAATGGATAGTGGTTTGCAGATCTGCAGATCACAGTAGAATTAGCCAATGAACTCTGTACGATGTAAACCCCTGAGGGTCTTCTATAGAAACGAATTAGCACGAAATTTCTCGATAATGATTGATTAGCCGACTTTCTAATACTCCGTACATTCTGCCGGTCGGCTGCAAATTGAATCATGACATGGTAACAAATCTCCTGAGAAACGCAATCAACCTAGAAGTGGCAAAGACAAGAACTCGAACCGAGTAATTCTCTACAATAGGTTGTCACCTGGGCAACTGAAACATACGTAGTCTCACCTAGCTGCATGGCGTGCATGAGAAATCACGAAAGGCCAGCCGTGTCAGATTTTAGGCACCCAAGGTGCACACGATAGGGTCTGCAAGTACGTTCCTTGATGAGGGCAAAGGGCTGATCCATTGTTTAATGTATATGTACTTACATTGACGAGCCGTCTGTCTAGCTTCGATCCTCAATCATAGTTTAGGATCTGTCTGGTTTGAGTTTCCGAACCGAGTTTGTTTCAACGACTCTTAATTCTCAGCTCGCTTGATAGCATGATGAAACTCTGGAATCTAGCGTGTCAATGACACTTTGCAACCCTCACCTAATGATAGCACCAATGTCGCCTTCTGCCTCTGCTGAGAGATCTTTTCAATTCCTTCCGTCTGATGGGTGGACCAACCAGTCCACGTACGTTGTTGGACCTTTGTGGATATTAGGTGAATACCGGAATACTCTTGCAGAATTCGAGCTGTAGTGTAAGATGCTTCAATAAGAGCGAATTGCTCTACGGGGCCAATAAAATTAGCAGTTTATCGACAGGGGAAAAAAAATAGAAGTTCACTTACGCCCTAGGCAGATTCGAGGACCGCCACTAAAGGGTAAATAGCCCCATGTTTTGGTGTATTCGGTCAAATCTTCGTCCCAGCGTTCTGGGCGAAACTCTTCCGCATCCTCTCCATATAAGTCCTTTCAACGATGCATCGAGTACACACAGAATGCTACATTCTCGCCTTTACGTATCAGTACTGGTGAGGTCCCGTCACGACCACCACCCGTGGGGAGAAAGGTTGTTCTTCGAGCAGTCCGCGTGTTGACGGGCACGGAGGGATAAAGTCGAAGGGCTATTAGCAACGTAATCATCAGCCACGAAACGATCAAAACTTCATGAAAGCCGGGAGGCGGGTCTTACTTTCTTTCGAAACCTTGCAAGGTACGTCATTTTGTTGTTGTCTTGTCGATCGATCTCTGTCCTAGATCCCACCACTGAGGTAATTTCTGCTTTCAGCTTGGCTAGAACATTTGGGATGCTCGGCTAGAAGAAGCTAGAATTAAATGAAGGCAGTTAGAGAATAATTTAACTTAACCCATAGAAAAGATGGTCTTCACTCACAATGTCCAACTTAGAAGGCACGCGGTTGTGTCTCTGCCAGCGAGCAACATATTGACCAGTTGGGCTCTCAGAGCTTTCCTATCGCTTGAATGCTTTGGGTCCTTTGCAATAGCATCGAAAAACAAGTAACGGTCATTCTTTGCTGTGTCTTCCTCTGGCTTTTGACTTCGCTCCTCGATAATTCCATCCACAAACTCATGGACAGCAGCACACGAGCGTTGGAATTTCCGACCACCGATCAACCAGTACAGGTCCAACAGACGAAACCGCTGAATAACGTAGTTTTGAGCAACGTCAAATTCATTCGCGAATTTTGCCCCTCGTGAGTTACCAGCCTCTTTAAGGCTATCAACGGACTTCCCAAAAAGAAGCTCTGTGGTCGTGTCCAGGGTGAGATTAAAGAACAATGGTTGAAGATCGATTTCGCCCTCATTAGCGCGTATGTGATCGAGCAGGTTGTCGACATGGGGTCGGAAAATGTCCATATCTCGGTATTGCTGCTTTGCGAACTGTGGACGAAGGAGATCTCGAGAATGCTTCCAGGAAGCTCCTTCCTGAGTGAAAATGCCGTCTCCAAGCAGAGGGAAAAAAAATCTGACGACGAAGTCCAAAGTTGAAATCTTTTGAATAATCATTTGATTTTTGCACATTGAATCGAGGGGTCAAGAAGGTGGCTTCCTACCATCAAGTTTAGAACTCATCATGGCCTCTAAATTCTTTGGCTCGGTCGTTCCATACGCGATTGTACCTAAGAACTTCTGTTCTAACGTCGTTCCAACATCCGTAAAATGGAAATTAAACAAATCCATCAGCCTTTGTTCATAGGCGGCTGCCCAAATTTGGATCAGACGATCGATCCCCAGCGGCCACCAATTTCGAAGTCTCGGGGCCCGACCACAACCATGCTGGGCACCGAAATTCTGATCTGACTATGAGAAAAGAAATGTTAGTTTTATCAGTATCATCACGATTTTAATTTCATAAAGTCCAACAAACCTTGTACAAGGCATGAGCTTGAATGCTTTGATACACAAGCCACGATATGATGCCCCCGAACAGTGTTGACAGAATAAGTGGTGACATCTCCAATGCGCCCCCGTTGGAAATGTTGAAGCTAACTTTTTATAAAACAAAATATAAAGAGAGCGATCGTGTAATAAAATATGAAACTATTCTGACTGGCTGAATTCAGGGGCTGGATGGAGTGCACGGGGTTTGGAGCCTTTTTAGGCCCCGGGCTAGACAAGGGTATTATTCTACGCTTTCATCGTGATGCATTTACGCCTTGTGATGCGGCCCGCATTAACCAGCATGCGAGCACATCTATCAGGATGCAGATTGGCTGGTCCGGTCGAGCCTATAAACAGCTTCAGTCCGTCAAGGCTAACCATCCTTGGCTTGGTTTGGCCCTATACCTAGGTAGTTTGTGTACTTATGTGCACTAGCAAGCTAGCATTATCCATTTTGAAACAGGGTGTCAAACTAGGGTCTCCGTTTAACCCGGGTTTTTGTTGGCCAAGACACCCTCTTCTCGATCGGCGACATGTTTATCAGATATGTGCTTTTTCCTAAATACTTGTCATGATCTCTGACTTTCAGTACGTTTGTGAGATCCTACCAGTAATTTCCAAACGGCGGACTCAATGACTGTAGAAACAATTTAAGGTGCAATCGCATGGATACGAATTGAATTATGGCTAAAGATAAACAGAGGAACTTTTGATGACATGCCGATTGAGAATGGTGCCAAGTTGTGCTAAGACTGTTTCCAAACAAATGAGAGTCAAAAGAAACAATTTTCTGCTTATTTACGTTGGCTTTTCTTTTTGACCACGGTTTTCTGTTTATTTTTAGAATCTCTCACAGGATTGACCACGATTTTCCTCAGGAGAACGCATGCAAGCCTGCATCTCTTGATCGAATCTCTCGTGGGATAGGCCATGGTTTTCCCTCAATTTTCGACCTAGTCCTCGGCTTCCAATACGTTTCGCTCCATCTTTCGCAAGAACTCTAGAGTGATTCGGCTGCCTTCGCCAACCAAATTCTCATCTTCAATCTGTTCACTGGCACGTTTTTCTGCGTACATAAGCGGTGTCATTCCATCAATATCAGGCAGATAAAGGTCCGAGCCGTGGTAGTCATGCAGGGCGACTACCACTTTTTCGCCAAGTGAACCATGTATTGCTGCGTGATGAAGTATGCTCTTGTTGCTGTGGTCCTTGGAAAATATATCGACACCGGAATGTTTCAAGATCCGGAAAACCTCGCAATCCTCCACGAAAGAATGCATGTGGACATGAGCCAGGTTTTCTCCCAGACTGTTTCTCCATAGCGGATCACCACCGTTTTTTATCAGCAGCTCGCAGATTTCCTTTTTATTCCCCAAATGGAATGACCGTAAATACATGCTGAGGGGCGAATCCCCTTCAGCGTTAAGAAGGTTCACGTTCACTCCATAACCCATAAGGAAATGAACCATTCTTGGGAAACATAACGTGTCCTCTAGGTAGAAGTGCAGCAAATTGTTCCCTTTGCCATCCACCTCGGTGCGCGCGCTCCGACCTTGCTTGTCAAAATGGCCTAGGAGCGCTTTCACCAACTTCCTGTTTTCGGAGCGGATGGCACAATGCAAAGGGTTGTGTCCTTGTAAATCGCACTCGAATGCGGATGAAGAATCCAAACGTAGAAGTTGGCGCGCTATCTTCTCATCCCCTTTGAGGCACGCAATGTGTAACGGGGTTTGTCCTTGCATGTTGCGAATACACGTCCGTGGAGACTTCTTAGCCAGCTGGGAAAAAACAGCGATAGAATCATGTTGGTCGATAGTAATAAGGTGCATTGGGGTCTCTTGATTGAGATTTCCCAAGTCAACGTCGATGTCGGGGTGCGTCACGATAGACCTGAGAACCTTCATTCGCTCTTCAGAGATTATATCATATATTTCGGCGGTTTCTTCGCTTTCATGGTCGTCAATCAAGTCCTTAAGGCACTCAATTTTCCATCTACCGTCAGACCACGCATCTTGTATTCTGGGGATGCTACCACACATAAAGTCTGAAGGACTTGATGAGGGCATCCTGTCCAGATCCAACACAGCCTTGCGGAGAGTGAGATGCAAAGGGGTATCCCCATATTGGCAGCGCGCATTCACATCTGCACCTTCGGAGAGAAGGAACTTGGTCATAGTTGAACTTCCTGCAAGTGCAGCAAAATGCAACGGGGTCAGACCCCAAGTGTTATGGTGATTCCCCATTGGGTAGCCTGCGCAGTTCCTTTGGATCCCAAAATTTATGTCTGCTCCATTCTGAAGTAGCAATTTGGCGAGCTTTTGGTGACCTTTGGCCACAGCATAATGAAGTGGTGTCATGTTATCCAAGTCGGTTACACCAGGGCTTGGACAACCGTTGTGAGAGAAGAGCAAGGTTATCACCTGGAGTGCATCATCCTTCCCACCTAAGGCAGCCAAGTGCAGAACATTCTGCTTCATGAGGTTTAAAGCCCCAACTTCAGCTCCCATCTCTAATAAAATCTGCGTAGCTTCCACTGCCATGGTCTCCACTGCGTTTAGGAGAGGTGTTTGACCTCTGTTGTCCGCAAGTTCCAGGTTTGCGCCATTGTCACCAAGAACTCGAAGCAAACGTGCCTCCCCTTTATTGATAGCATGATGGATCGCACCTTTTCCTTCTTTATCTACCAAATTGAGCCTGGAACCGTGTTGCAGGAGGAGTTCGACTGTGCTGATTCGCTCGTTTCGGGCAGCCCAGTGCAATGCAGTTTGTCCGTCATCGTCTATATCATCAATAACAGATTTGTCCGTCAAAAGATCCAAGATGCACTCGTCAAGCCCAAACCACGCAGCGGAATGCAAAGCCGAAAACTTGCTCAGGATTGTGTTCTTGTATATTGGGAAAAGGTGATCTACCCGCAGAACCTGAAGGGAGTTCTTGAGTGCGAGGTGATTGTGAAGAAATATTTTGACCATCCCTTCAACACTGACATATGCCTGTCGCGCATGGTAGCCCCAATTTTCAGCGGAGTACGCATACAGTGGATATTGTTTTTGACGAGCTAGGTATTCACGACGCGACTCAGGGGGCTCTGTTTGAAAGCTGTCCAGACAGAGATAGGCGAGACATTTATGGGCAATTTGCGAGTGCGGGTCCAGAAAATATCTTTCTCGTTTGTCATCCAAGTATTTCTGCGTAGTGTAATGGGCCAATCGAATAACATCGGTTTGCTCATCAACCCTGACCAGACCTGCACATAGGGAAACCAGGTCATCTATATTGGTGAGTTTCCCTTTGCCAAGTTTAGATTCCCCGACGTTGATAGCTATGCCATGCTGCACTTCATGCGGGCTCAATGGCCTGGATGCACACGCTATCCAGAGCAAGACTTGTTTGGCTTTTCGGACATTTTCATGAGATTGGCTCTCGATCCTTTCCAAGGTCTCTGAGTATGCCTCATCCAATGCCGGAGGGAGATTTTTTAGTTGTGTGCGGACCTCATCTGGAGACAGCTTTTCTAAGGAGCCGAGTTGTAGACTGGCAAGGAGAAACCTGGCGTATCGTTAGTTTTGTATAACCGGAAACCGAGGTTCGCTTTGCTCACATCCCATCAGCGGCATTTATGATAGCCGCGACTATTTCTTCCCGTAGATCCGGTGACTCTTTGACGCAACAGAAATGATTTAAAGAGGTTTCCACGAATGGTTTAATATCCGTGTCTTTTGCTTCAACCCTAAGACGTGGACAGTTCGGGAACATGTCTGAGATGTCTGGGTTGTCTCTGGAGGTGGCCAGGAAGCCTAAGTTGTGAATATCTTGGAACTCAGAGATACGAGTGAGTAATTCTTGTTGGTCGATGTGAGGTAATCGGCATTCGTCCAAAGCGTCTATGACGATGAACACCTTCGAAGATTCCGAAATTGTAGATTCCAGGAGCTCCAAGATCTCCTCCAAGGTAAGATGAGTTTCGTACTTCCGGTGACTCTCATATAGAGACTTCAGTCGATGTGGTACCATTGCGTGCTGGATAAGTTGCTTGAGGAGGTTGGCGAGTATTTCCTCAATTGTAAGTTCCTCACGGTAATCGAAATAGAAGTATGCCAACCGGATCTTACTATCATGCCGTATGCGACGACGGAGTTCGTCAATCACAGTGGACATCATCAGCGTCTTTCCAGTTCCCGGAGCACCCTGACAGAAAAGGGTGCGTCGTTCCCTTTGTTTTTGAGCTTGATTGAACCAAATGGAGAATTCGTCCGTTTCGAGGAACCATCGCCCGGTACCTTTGTGCCGAAGCTTCAAAGTATCGGCTTGTTTTGCTGCACTATTGATCGGAGAGAGCCACTTCATAAGATCAAGTCGGTCCTTCTCATTGACATGCTGCACGATCTGTTCGACTCCTTTCCGATTGGAAATTGTCAGATATTTGGTGTCTTGGATCACTTGCCTAGTTATAGTTAGAACTATCCAACTCAAACCTCGCCAAGGATCATACAAATTCAGGTGTCCCAATAACAGAGTTAGGTCATTCACCCTTTGACGAATCTGTTCTCGAAATCCTGTGGCTTCTTTTTCGTCCCATAAGAAGCGCTTCCAAAATAGCTGCACTGCGCCGAGGAAATTCTTGGTGCCATCAAATTCCGCGTAATAGTCCAGTTTCTTTCGAACCTCCCCCAGGATAAGTTGGCATCTTTTTGTAATGTCACTGAGAGTATCTTTTTGCTGTTCACTCAAATGATGATCATGATGCTCCGCTGTTATAGATTGGAATATATTTGATAATGTTTCGACTCTGTTCTGGCGTAAGTCTAATATCGCACTGGGACTATGTGGATATCTTACTCCTCAGAAATGATCCTATACTGCGACGGTGCATATTTGAATCGTTTCCGCAGATCATTCGCAAGTCTGATGCAGGTATAAATGTCACCGGGGCTATAACCGATCTGCATGTTATTGACAAAAGTACTTCAAGGCCAATGGAATACTATAGAGATTTGTGAGTTTCGCACATTATGAGCTTGTCCATGCCCTCTTATATCTCCGCTGGCAAGGAAACAGCTTGTAGCGCCGAGGCTTTCATGGCGCGAGAGTACTTCCAGCCTAATTCTATTGAGGCTAGATCGGGATACATTTCGTCACTCTAGCCAGTTAACGCTATCTGTTTGGCGCCCAAGTCAGCTGAGGTTGAGAGTCAAAGCGCTTAGCCAGACGATGCCATTGTACTAAAATTGGCAATTCTAAGTAAGTTATTTTCTTTTCAAAAGAAAACAACCAAAATCTATGTACGGAACTATACCATGTTAATCCAACGGTGCGCTGTCCAGGTGGCGAGAAACTTGATGGCTATGGCGGGGGTAGACCCACCTACGTCATACTGCTTCATATTTGAACGGACGTGAGTCACTGTTCGCGGACTGCATCCAACAGCGCCAGCTATTTCGTATATGGTTAGTGTAGTATGTTGTATCATGTCACAAATGAGCCTCAGCTGCCAAGGTCGAAGATTAGGTGCAATATTAGTTAACGTTGTATCAGGTTAGACAGGATGGTCTAAGTCGGGTTAAGAGAGTCGTGAGGATATGTGGATATTCCAGCCATAGTAATCTAGAGGCATATTATTGGTTAGGACTCTTATAATTTCGCCCGCTTATTATTAGCCAGCTTACTATTCGGATTTCGGACTTTACACACCCAAATGCAAAATGGTCAGGCGCGACTAAATTGGATACTGCATGGATTTGAACATGTCATTCCACGAATCATGGTAAACAAAAGGCCAATAATACTAGTAATGATACATTTAGATAGAGTGATTGGCACCCAAATTTGACGGTCCCACTCGGCAGACGCTACTGGTCAGACAGAGCGCCAAGTCTCAGAAACCACGGGTACTCCCAGGCTCTGTAGATATAGAATGGATTGCGAAGGGGCATAACGGCCAAAGGTCAAATGCCTGATTTTCCCCTATTGATGCCTTATATGCCTGGTTTATGCCTGATTTTAGACTGGCAGAAAATGAAGATACCTGAATTACTATGACAGAGCCCTTAATAAGTAAGGTAGCCATGTTCAATGCCTTTTAAAATTGGTAGGTAAAATGAAGCTATTCCCACCCATACAAACCCTCAGATTCATCCAATTCCAGCGCTAAGGCCAGGTCTACTATACGAATCTCTATGTCAGGCAAAATGAAGCTATTCCCACCTATGCAAACCCTTAGATTCATCCAATTCCAGCGCTGAGGCCAGGTCTACCATACAAATCTCCATTTTTGAAGCTATTCCCACCTATATAAATCTCCATTTTTAAAGCTATTCATACCATACAAATCTCTATTTTTGAAGCTATTTATAATATATAAGTCCCTATATATCCTTATCTCTATCCCTATACCCTTCGTATTCTCCTCCGCTGGCTCCGGTGTGTTAGTTCTATAGTCTCGGATCGGGATCGTGCTCGCCTCCGCCGCCTTATTATATTTGCTAACTATATTAGAGATTCTAATACTACCGGCTTTAGAGATCCTATCTCTAGCCTCGGTAGCGAGCTCGATAGCGGCCTCGGTAGAGATCTAGCTTTATCTTTATACCGCTTAATAACGATATATAGCCTTGGTTGACTAGGGATCTTTTCGACCAATTGCTTTATCGTCCTATTAAAATCTCTATTAATTCCTAAGATCCACCGAGGAATAAGCTTCTTTCTAGCCTTTATTATTATATCGGCTAGATAGAATTTATCCGTTAGTAGCGGCGTAAAACTAACGATCCTAGGTAATTTAGAGAGTAGCTTATTCCGTATAAACCAGTTAATATCGCCGATATATTAGGAGGGACGGAACCGAACCGAAATTAAAGCTATTTAAATCTATAGATTAGCCATTACTCTTAATAATATAGGGGGTACTTTACTATTAGGAATCGGATTTATCTCTCCTAGTCTCTCTTAGAGATAAAATGTTATAGTAATTGGTATATCTCGCTCCGTTTCCGCTTACTACTAACCTCGCTAGCGCTAGTATATAAGGCGGGTGCTACTAACTATACCACGGAGTCCTAAGAACGGAGTGCTTATTGACTAGCTTAGGGTTGCGGTATATAGAGGTGGCGGCGCTGTCGATAGCGCTAGCGCTAGTGAAGGCGTTAGCGCTAGCGTTAGTAAAGGCGTTGTTAAACTTACTTCCCGGAGAGCGGTAAGAAATGCATTTAGGAAGTCAGTGTTAGGTATAGCTATACTAAAGATAATTGAAGATAAGAAGTTAATTGAAGATAAGAAGTCAATTAGTTTTAAAATAAGGATAAAAAACTCTATATTTTAGTAATAACTATATCTATCTTTTAATCCCGAGACACTATTTACATACCCTCTATACCCCCCGAGACATCTAGGCTCTACTCGCTAATAAGCTACGCTATACCTTACTAATTAGCTACACCCCACGGCTTTATATAAATATCGAGAATTAGATCTTAGCCGGAGTCCTAGTATATAAATACTCGCTCCTATAGTGCTTTATATACCACTCGGTATAGCTCTCGAGGTTCTCTATAAAGAGCTGGATTCGGATCGTTAGGGTTAAATAGTATTTCTACTAGCTACTATCTAATTTTAGTAAGCTACTAGTGACACTAGGTAAGTATAGATAGCGGGAGATATTTATTAGGATCCTAATCCTATATATCTTAGCGTAACCTCTAGAGAAGTAGTCCCTATTTAGAAGTAGGATCTAGGTTTATAGGATAGTATAGGTCTAGTATATTAGCGTATTTCTAATTTATCTTTAGCTTCCCCTTTATAATATAGGGCCGGTAAGGCTAGTTTTAAATAAGATAATAATTCTATTCGTTAGTATATACTTCGACTCGGTATCGAATAAGCGGTATATAAATAGTAAGTAGAGAGACTTATTTAGGTATATAGTCTTTTATAAAGAGGTTTTCGCGCTAGAGGCATTTAAAATACTCCTAATAAGATAGAAATTAGTATATAGATCTAGTATATATTACTTCACTTATATAGAAGAGACTAGTTATTACTCTTAATAGAAGACCCTACTATCCTTCAATTCGCTAATTATCAACACTCCGGCTATAGAGATAGTAATCCCGGATCTATATTAAGGGATCTCCTAGTTTCCGAAGCTTATATTATCTATTAGTAATAAGTATAGTCTCTATACCTCGATCGGAGCGGATCTTTCTATATTAATCAATTAGTATAGCTAATATTAACTAAAGTAGATATAACTTGCCTAGGTTAGAAGCTATACTCTATAAAGGCCTTAAGATATTAGCGTTAAACACTAACTATAGTACGAGCGCTCACTCTAACGTATAGCTAGAGAATATACCGAGAGTATCTATTAATTATAGTATAGATCTTAATACCGAACGGTTTAAGCTTTATATACCTATTAATATACCATATATCGTTCGGCCCTAGTAAGATATAGTTAACTCTTTCGCGCTATCGGCTAGGGAGCTATCTTTAGATAGTATTAGGACGGAGGAGGTAATAAACGGTCTCGATTTAGGCCCTAAGAAGTGAAAAGAATTAGTACTTATTTATTTTAGAAAGGTAAGAAAGGAGTAAGTGAATACTTAGTATAGTATAGTCCTATTGCCTAGAGGTAATAATAAAGAGCACGGCGCCTAAAGTCCTTAATATCACTAATAATAAACTCACTAATTAGGATAGCTTTAACGTCAGAGAGCTATTACTCTCGCTTATTAGAAGAGAGGCGGAGTTTAATACTAAGATCACCCCGGATTCGACGAATAGTACGCTCTAAAGAAGGCGTACTATCTATAGTAAGAATCTTAAGGATATCATATATATTATAACGAGGTAGGAGTTCTTTAACACGATCCTAGATATCGGCTTTCTTCGTACGTGATATAGCCTACCATTCTCGAAGACAATTCTTTAGGCCCGACCGGCTAATAGTAACGTGGTATTTGTCTTATAGGAGGCTCCGAATAGCTTTATAGGTATGCTAAGAGAGAAGATCGAGTATTTCGGCTTTATAAGGCTCAAGATCAATCCGTGGAGGCATAATTCGGCTTTGGAATCGGCGAAAAAGGGGTTTTATACGGTCGGAATAGCTTTAAAAACGAGAATTTGAACAGCGGGAAAAGCTTCAATTTTAAAACATGGAGATTTGTACGATGCGAATAGCCTCAATTTACAATACACTGTATAGAGCGGTGTCAAAAGCGGTCTAAAATCAGGCATTAATCAGGCATATAAGGCACCAAACCTGGAAAATCAGGCATTTGACCTTTGGCCGTTATGCCCCTTCGCAATGGATAGAACAGGTTGAGAAAAAGTACAGTATCTTAGGGGATTAGAAAAAAGCCGTGAGTATCTAGAACAATCTTGGCTACCTAAGATAATGCATAATCAATGGGAGTGATAGATCCGAAAGCCCACCACGTGTCCCATTATGATTGGTCCAGTCCTTAGTGAAAGGACCGCGCAGATTCAGCTCAGCGGGCGTGGTCGAAGAGCGTAAATAGTGTTTCACCACCTCGTCTTGGTTATTGTTGGATGCCTGAGGCATCACTATGTAATAGAACCCACAGTTTGATAGCGCTCTCTCTCCTTTCCTTCTCTTCCTCCTCTCCTAGCGCGAGACAGTCAATCCACAGAGTGTTTTCTCCATTGATTCTCCATCTGTATCGCATCATTATTTTCTACAGACCTTCACTTAGTGACAACAGGACTCTCACAGCTTAAGACTCTACAGTATCTACGGTTCTCGTTTCTAAGATATCTATCTCATCTTAAGGAGTGAAGTTCAAGAGACCTCGAGATACCATTGCTGAACCTCATCAAGACGTGCCAGCCGCTCCTCTGCTTCGGAATGTGCGTTAGCTGTCTATGCCAGAGAAAGCCAGTTTCAGCCACAGGATCCATCTCCCCCGCAAGACCTATGGAGAGCTGCCTT